AATGATCTTTGGGGATATGTATGTATGTAAGTGGCATCCTAATGACTCTAAAATTCTAAAAGGAAGATACTGTAATTAGGCCCTGCTGGCTTAGCAACATCAGGCCATGCATTGTTTCTGCTTTTTAATTTGATTACCTGGAAACTTGAATCATTAAACTAAAAGGTGTCTGCGTTTTATGTCTTGATAGGAAAAGGAAAGATTAATGACACTTCACTTTAGTTAATGATCTGACTCAGCTTTACCAAGGAAATGATCTCTTCTCATTCATTTTGCATTTCAGCCTAAAACAACCTGTTCTATGACTCTATAATTAGAACTATAATATTCAAATCCAGACACTAGGAAAATTTCAGACTCACTTCCTGCATCCCCACATGTGCTATATTTGTTTGGTTTATTATCTTCTTGCTCAATGAAGAAGATTTATTTAAGTATGAGTGCCAGAAAAATAAAACTAAATGATTCACAGGATTTACCACTTAGAGTATATTTAACTTTTATACTAGTTAATCATATTTTGAGACATAAGGCACAGGAAAGGTTTTCCTGTAGTATTTACAAAACGACTTTTTAGCCCACATGAATGTGTTTTATTTGAACCCATATGACAATTAAATACTTCTACCCTGAGTGTTTCAAAGGAAGATAGTGTAATTTCCTGTGCATGGAAATGTGTCTCAAAACAGTCCAGACATGAGGCTTGCAAGGCTGTATAGTGCTGTAAAGTTGGTTTTGTTCTTAGAACATCAGATCCTGAGGTATTTAGAAATTAATTGCTGCAAAATAGCATACTGTTTACTAAAAATAATTTTTAAAATCTATGTAATCTTATAATCTCTTCTAAATAATTTTTACTTGACACTGCCACAAGCAAACTGTGGTCTGGTACTTGGACTTGATATGGCAGACAAATGCCCTCTAAAACTTTAGGATAAATCCAAGACAACTTTTATGCTAATAGGTAATTCTAAAAGAGTGTAAGTTTCCTTGGACCTCAAGACTATGCTCTTATCCTAGAGTCCACTCATTTCTTTACTAGCATACACCAGGTTGTCAACAGAAGACGGCTAGTCAGTGCCCAGGAGGCAAGTGTGTGCCTATGGGAGGCATAGTAAAGGAAGGCAATAGATGATACTAGAAAAATACAAAGCAAAGCCCCAACCTTAACTCAAAGCCATTGAAGAGAGGTGAGCATGCAAGAAACAATGAATGAATAAAGACCATAGAAAATTAAACATTCAGGTGTAGGAGATCCACAATTGTTTTCATGTTCTTGTGAATGAACTTAAGTAGGGTCAACTTTGTTAGACATTAAAAAAGATCACATTCTACAACTCTCTGGGTGGTACTTGGATACACGGTTAGCCCTCCCAAATCATTCTCTGAGGTTGATCTCCATTTTACTGTAGATCCCATTAAGACATTTTTAGTCAAAAGTCAACTCTCTGAGTAAGCTTCCCTCGAGAGTTACATGTGTGTTGATATGACAGCAGCATTGAACATTGGTACCTCTCACTACTGATTTGTGGTTTTAATGGCTGTAGTGAATGACCCTGTGGCAGATCTTTCTGAACCACCCAAAATCATGGACTTGACCTTGTAATGCCTGGTTGGCATCGACCTTGAAGCTGTACTTCATCTTAACCTGTTATCAATAGGTAGTCTCTATAAAACTTACATTATAAGCAGAAATGTCGATCCATAATCCTCCCAGGAGTGGTGTAGGGAGGGGAGAGGGAAGGTTGACTTACTTGTGTCCCATCTTTCTAAGAAAAATTTCTCACTGAGTGCAGCATTTCTTAACTGCAAAATTAACAACATAAATGTGCCTACAGTAGCCAATTTAATTAAAGCTGGTATCCAGAGCCATATAATTTAGGGCAGAAATAGGATTATGCAAGGTGAAAATGTATATCAGTGTGCTCTGAAGAATGCTGTACCCCTGCCTGTTACTTTAGAAGTATAAAAAATATTCATCCTGGATCCTCTCTGACTGAGAGAGGTTCCAATGACCATTAGCATTAGGCTGCCCTGTCAGTGACTGCCAGGAGAAAGTGGCGCACACTAATTGTACTATGCGAAACTTTGGACCATATGCTGCAAAATAATCTTGGTCACTTCAGTTGTAACAATAGGCACCCATAGTTGATCTGCAGTCATTTCATGTTCACAGTTTCTTTGCCAGAGTGTGTACCTTTAAATGAATCTGTCTTCTTTTTTCCTTAAATTTACCTTTTTTCCTTGTCTAAAGTACTTTTCAGGGAGGACAATAACCTAACACATTGAGCTTGGTGTGCACAGGAAATTTGGAAGCAATAACAGGACCATGGACTAACTTTGCAAGGCCAAGTTTTAATGAGTAATTTGCAAAGTAATTAATCAGGAGGCCATTATCCATAAAAATGGGTTAAATGCACCCCACACTGCCTTGATGTTTCTCTTGGCTGCCTGAGGCCACAGTTTTTCCATGGTCTGAGCTTCCTTATGCCTCTGAAGCTTTTCTGAGCAACGTGTCATTTTAAGGATGAAAAGGAGAAAGTTGTGAACTCCAGAGTTCACTTTTTCAGTTGAACAACTATAGTACATGAACCAGTAATGATCCATCAGTAGATCAAAAATTCATTTAGTGAGTAAGGAGAGCTATTTTTTGAATTAAATAGAATAGACTAGATATGCCAAAACACACCATGTGTTGTAAGAATAAATATTTTGCAAAAAATATATGCATCTAAACATATGCATGTATTTATACATAAATGGGTGTAAATTGTGATACAGCAGGTTTTCTTACTGTGGATTGTAAAGAAATTTAGAGCCATTATTGTGTTAAATATCTTTTGAAATATGGAAATGATAGTATTTTTCTAATTGCATTTTTTTAATATAGTGCTATATGAGATAGTTTATTTATTTATGCTTAGAAGGAAAAAACTATCCCAAGGGAATAATGTACTGACTTAAAATTGCTATATTAAGGCATATAAATTAACGTGCTTATGTTTATGTGGTCCTCTGAAAATATGACATTAAGTTTAAAGTGATATTTTATACTACTAGTTTAAGTATCCTGAAATACAGTATTTCAAAGCTATGTTTATAACTATATTTTTGTTTACACTGTTAAGGCATGTGCTTATGATAATGCAAATAGTTTTCAATATTTAAACATTTTAAAGAATATTTCAAAATTTAGAGTCCCAACACTAAAAAAACAAAGTCAAGGTAAATTCTAACATAAAGGTTGAAACAGAGCAAGACTACAAGTTCTTCCAAGCAATAGAGAGCACAATTGGGCTATTCTAAGGCTACCACCAATATTTTTCCCCCATATATTGTTGTAGAAATGCTATAAAACCTGGTTACTAGTGAAGTTCAGCCAGTCCCAGCACACGAAGGAAAGCTCCACAGCCTGCATACCAGGCTCCTAGGGCAGTGAAGCTCAGCCAGTCCCTGCACCTGGAAGGAAGCTCCTCGCCTCCATCCCAGGCTCCTAGGGCAGTGAAGCTCAGCCGGTCCCAGCACCCGGAAGGAAGCTGGGACAGAGGCGTCAGGGCCCTGAGCAGCGGACCAAGGCAGTGAGTGCAGAGTGCGGCCTCAGAAGACTCGCCTGAGTCGTTGCTCACTTTCTGTGCTGGGTATTGGGAGTGTGGGCTCGCTGTCTCCCCCAAGGCTGAGTGAGCTGCTTCTGGGGTTGTTGGGCAGCCAGTGCCCAGCAAGCTCCCCATGTGTTTGCACCCGGCTGTGCACAGAGCAAAGGGCTCCGACATTTCACATCGCTGTTGTCCCAAGCTTGGCCACAGAGATCCCAGCAGATGCACTTGGCTTCCGAGGTTGCCACTTGGTTCCCGGGGCTCGCCTCACCTGCCACACCCCGGGTGGCAGCTGGAGGGCTGCGTGGCCCTGAAGAGTTTCGCTTCACTTCCCTCTGTTTTGGTTTTGCCATCAGGGCCTCATTTCCTCTTATTGCTTATAATTCACTGTGTTATTTCATCAGTGCATAGCGGTTACATTCATGGTGAGGTCGGTACATTTAAAGCGTGGAATGCAAATCGGGCCCCACCTGGGGCTTTGTGGGGAAATCTGTAAACCGTGGATTGCTCTCAAAGTCACTTCTATGGAGCACACAGTCCCTGTTCCCTGGCTTTGCCAGCTCAAGGCCTGGCTCTGTCTGGATGATTCTCGCTTCGTGGCCAGTGCAGTGGGCGGTGGGGCACAGTGTGAGGGCCCAGCAGCATCTGGCCAGGATGGGGTGTGTGTGTGTGTGGTCAGGGAGGGATTCCAGGACAGTCTGGTGCAGTCAGGAGCCGCAGCTGTGCGTGGACACCGGAAAGATGGTTCCTGCAGCTTTGCAGGTGCAGCTCTGGCGTGGGGCTGTGTGCAGCTTGCAGCCTGGTGCAGGATTTGGGGCCCCAGGAGTGAGGTCACCCAGGGACAGACTCACCCTGCTCTCTGCCCAGCTCAACGTGTGGAGAGGAGGAAAGCACTCAGGGACTGCACACACCAGGGCAGTGTGGGAGGGAGATCAGGTCTCAGCCTGTGGTCACCCGCCCAGAATGACGTCACCTGGCATGAGGCAGCGACTCACTGGCCTCTCGGGGAGCAGCACCCCCTCTGGTGGAGCCCATAGCCCCAGCCAGAGTTGCTGAGCTGACCCAAGCATTAATGGTGGACACCCAGCCATCGGGATCCATTCGTTTTTCAGAGCCGCTCAGTGAAGCCAGGTGAGGTGGTGCAGCTCTGCTACCCAGCACTCTGGGAGGCCCAGGCTGGGTGACGGC